TCTGGGAAACATCCTTTGTTGACTGGGTGACCACTTGTAGTGATATTCCTATCAAGCAAACCAACAAAGAATGATTAAATATCAAGCTGCAAATACTAGTACTTCTGTTGCTTTTAAAAAAAAAAAAATTCGAACGATTGCAAATTAAAAAAAACAAAACACTGTTTTCATATTGCAAACAAGTAGACAATTATTTGTGAATCAAAAATGTCTCCAAAAATATAAATTTAATTGCTCATGTTCAAATTTGTTTACATAGCACACATAAAGTTGTAGACAGTTGTTCGCACATGAATAAAAACAAATTGATTTGTTTACAAAAGTTGTCATATAGAAAACTAGTGGCCGTTGCTTCATAGGATAAACTATGTTCATGGGTTAAAAATGTCTGATCATTGGACAGGTTTGACAATGAAAGTGCCTGTCTCATTTGATGATGTACCTGTTCTCTTGGAAGATCAACAACATATTTAAAATAAAATTGTCATTCTTGACTCATAGTTTCAAAAAAATACTTCTGGGCATTAGAAACTTTGGACTACCCCATTTGGATGGTTAGTAAAAACTTAGTACCGGTATTTCTTTTAACCTGTTCACAGAGACAGACAATTTATCTGTCCCAGCTACAATCTGCCTGTCTTGGACAGGTCTTAATTTGATACCTGTATGTTGTTTGGGTTAGATTTTAGTATACAATGCAAAGCTGAAAACCATTGGTCATTAATGTTCGACTTATATACAAAGTAAATTATAAAACTGAATATTCACCAAGCAATTATGTACCTTGCACAGTGAGCAACTAATTTCAAAAAGTGAATTCACATAAAATACAAAGTCTATTGTATGCTGTTATCAATTAGTCAACACATACCATTGTAAAGACCATACTAATGCATGCATTTGACAAGAACCTTCATCAGAATTTGCAATAAGCTAAGTCATGGTTATGTTATGGGTTTTAACCCTACCCTAACTTTTTCAATAGTTTAGGAAGAACTATATCTCCTAATCAAATCCAGACATTGCACCTTGAATAAACTCAGCAGCCTTAGTCAAGATACAAGGTCTGATTTACAATAATTTATTGTACAGTAGATAATAAAATATTGGTTTACAAGTGATGTACACTTGAAGAATGGGTCACATGACAAATAGTGGTATATAAATGTATATACATGTACTTACGGATCTTCCTCTGGCATACAAGGTCTCATATCATGTAAATCTTTGTCTGTGACATTGTCTGAAAACAAAAATAGATTGATACATTTCCAGGGATTGACTCAATTTGAATGCCAAAGTCATCTTTAGTATTCTGGCATAATAAAAACCAATGCAATTTTTCTTAAAATTCTGATCAAGGTCCGAGACAATGGGCAATTATGTCTATCAGTTCCAAAAACAAAGACATGTAACAGTAGATTTGGGGAAGAAAGAAAACAGGTATAACAATTTGCACAAGATAATAAAAACAAGCCATGCATGGCACAGTCCCCGTTAGTTATCAAATTTAAGATATATAGTTACGTTTATAGTAATATAGCTGGAATATAACCATGTCAGGAATATGATTTTTTAACATTAAAATCATTGACATTTGTATCTGATCGTCAAACAAGTACTTTTCCATATTGAGATATATTGCTCAGGAACAGCATTCAAAGTCAATCATTTTGAATACATGTATATATATAACATGATGTATAACGAATATATAAAATTTAAATATAATAAGTCAAAGCATTTAAGAGATATGGCTCTAGAAGCCCAATCATTAAAACAAAATGGCCGCCAGTCAGCAATTTTGAATCCAATCTGAAAAATAAAATGACTCAGCATCAGGAACCCGTAATGTCTAATGTATGTACCAAGTTTGAACGAAATCCACCCATAAATGCTTGATATTTGATCATTTTTAGCACAAAAATGAACACCATTCGGCCATTTTGAATAGGATCATCAAACCAATATATCTGTGTATCTACGACATGATGTATAATGAATATTTAAAATTTGAAAATATTATCAGTCAAAACAAGTCGGAGATATGGGTCTAGAAGCCCATTCATTATAACAAAATGGTCGCCAGACAGCCATTTTGAATTCGATCTAAAAAAAAATGATGTGCATCAGGAACCTGTAATGTCTAATATATGTAACAAGTTTGAACAAAATCCATCCATAAATGCTTGATATTTGAAGATTGTTTAGCACAAAAAAGGCCACCATTTGGCCATTTTGAATAGGATCGTCAAACCAATATATCTGTCTATCTATGACATGATGTATAATGAATATTTAAAATTTGAACATAATCAGTGAAAGCAAGTCAGAGATATGGCACAAGAACCACATTCATTAATACAAAATGGCCGCCAGTCGGCCATTTTGAATCTTATCTGAAAAATAGTTCATACCCACCATAGACTCCGGTCAGTCAAAATGACTATTTTGAACTGTAGGCATTAATCAGCGATTCTTCCGGTGACGGAGAGATAGAATCCAGGTCAGGGGAAGCCCCATGACCTCAAGATTCTTTTACCCCTTACGTCACGAACCCACGTGACCGAGGCCACCTGGCAGCGCCACAGGTAGCCGTCCTTCACTCTGGTTCCTTTCTCTCCGCCTCGAGGACTTAGACCAACGCGACGGAAAGAGTGGGGAGGTTGGGGGGGACCCGG